GAGAGAGAGAGAGAGAGAGAGAGAGAGAGAGAGAGAGAGAGAGCAGTTCAATATATGAACAACCCTTGCTCCACGTCTCCGTTTTCTCTTTTCATTCAAACTTTCTTTAGATGTGGTTTCCAATAAAAAACGGTCGTATTTAACACACTGGCAACACCAGCTGATTGCCAGATTTTCCCTTCCTTATATATGTGCTAAATGTTGCTACATTTCGGTTCATGAAATATGATATTGTGAGTGGGTAGGGAACCCGGCAGTGCCCGGGTCGACATAGTATCCCGGTTTACCCCCCCCCCCCCACCCCACACACACACACATACAGACATAAAAGTACACAAACCCATTTCAATGTTTACAAACATTGCTGACGTCACAAAGATGCGCGCGCACCTTGGCGGCAAAACATAGGGTAATATCAGCTGTTCTCAAACTTCCACAAGCATATACGATTCCTGCGTGCCAGTGCCTCCCAGACTCCACAACAACTAAGCACCCTATACTTCTCATTAGTCCCAACACAGCCAATACGAAACCTGTTCATCTTACCTCAATCATGGCGGCTTAAGTCTGTATTTACTAAACAGTTTACGAGCTGGGGAACGCTACGAGGTCGTTCTCGACACATGGTAATTATGGCTATAGTCAACCTCGTAACACTATTAACTACCTCGTAGCACTATAAACTACCTCGTAGCCTTACGAGTAGTTTATAGTGACTTAAACTCTTTACCATAAGGTAAACTACCTTATGACTTCGTAAACTCTTTAATAAAAGAAACTCCATCAACCGTGATTGAGGAAAGATGTATAGACCTCGTAAGTGAGCACGTAAGTTCTTGATGAATGCAGACACAGCTGGTCTCAGTATCAGGAAACGCATTTTCTTATCATTTATATACAAAAATTTTCCTTGTGCTAATCTCAATTGATTTAAATTGTTCCTTTTATATGTTTAAGGCACCTGTGTTGGCGGGGGGGTTGGGCTATAGCTCTTGGGCCAGCCTCTGAGCCTTCTTGTACCTTGAGAAGTTGAATTGTTGAGTTCCAGGGGGGGGGGGTGGATGGTCTTGACCCAGATGATATGGAACTAGGTATGGAAATGGTATGATCCATCCACGTCATCCACCCACCTACGCCATCCACGCCATTCCAGCGTCAATGCCTGCGTCAGTGCCAGCGTCAATGTCTGCGTCAATGACTGCGTCAATGACTGCGTCAATGCCTGCGTCAATGCCTGCGTCAGCCTGCTCTTGACGGCTGTATCGTCGAACGAAGAGGTACCAGATACAAGGACAGGAGTTGGACAGGTTTAGAGACAGAAAAATACCAAGGTTAATACTGGTTTCGAAATAGGGTGAACCCTAACCTAACCTAACCCTAAGTTCAATGCCAGAATTAGGTCTCGACAACCAGTAGCCACTGAAACCAGGTGAACCAGGGTCTCTGAAACCAGGTGAACCCCCCCCCTGAATCATTTGCAGAAGTCAGTCACGCCTGCCAGACAGGTCATTTACCCAACTCTTTTACATACGCTGTTTACGAAACCAGTTTGGCCAAGGAGACAATATTTACAATATGTCAACACATACACGAAAACAATTGTCTCTAAAGAACTGCCGTAAATTTAATGTTTTAAAACGCACAAAATAATGTATTTTTTAACAAAATACACCAAAAATTAATAGCAAGTTGCCACTTGTTTAAATCCCAGAATCCCAGATTCAGAACAGAATCCCAGTCAATCGTCCCCGGGCCGGGATACGAACCCTAGGCCAAAGCACTTGCGAAGCGCCAAGCGAGTGATTTACCACTAAGCCACGGGGACTGCTCGATTATATCTCATAGAAATCTATATGAATATAAATTCCATGAATATGAATGTGAATGTGTTAAATTATAATATATATAATTGTATATAAATTTGATATAGAATTTAAGAGTATATTCGGGAATTAGGTTTTACACGGCTGTAAAGATTTGACAAACGTACAAAATGAAGTGGTTGAGCGTACCCAAAACCATATGGTCATAGAAAACGGTTTGGCTTAGACCCAAACAACGTCCATTTTACGGTGCAATGAACGTCCCTAAACCATCTTAATTCAGACGCAATGACCTGTTGCGTCTAGATAACGATGCATAGAGTTCAAAGTAAAGTCACTTAACCTCTAGTTCTGACGCAGGAACTATGTGACCTTGGAACTACGGGGGTAGTGGTATAGGGTACTAAATAATATTCCTAGTGTCAAAACTCGCCTTTATATCCTCTGTATATACGGTTGATAATCACCCCCAAACATTCTCGGAAGGTGGTGTTAGCACTTTATGCTCCCGTAGGGCATAAAACCCCCGTATATATATATTCTCTCTATGCTCTCTGCACAGATGGTATAAAGATCATTGTTCCAGTACACGGGGATGATCCTTGCGTCATGCTGCTTAGGGTCAAATACCGTCCAACTAGGAAAGAACTGGGCCGCCAGCTGGTCGCGTCACGGGATTCGTTGAACTGTCCTCCGGAATGCGTTCAAAACTTGACGCATTAGTGATCATTGTTGCGTGGTAATGTTGACGGGTTCTTTGTATCGGGGTTATGATAGGTTAGGAGGGTTTGCTAATGGGATACGAACCCACGTGGTGAGATCCTATTGGGGGGGGGGTAGCAGTCCAAGATTAATGTGTAATTACCTAAGTGTAGTTACAGGATGAGAGATACGCTCGTGGTGTCCCGTCTTCCCAGCACTCTTTGTCATATAACGCTTTGAAACTACTGTGTGTGTGTGTGTGTGTGTGTGTGTGTGTGTGTGTGTGTGTGTGTGTGTGTGTGAACTTGCATGTGTGTGTGTGTGCATGCGCGTGTGTGTGTGTGAGCATGTGCGTGTGTGTGTGTGTGTGAGCATGTGCGTGTGTGCGTGTGTGTGCATGTGCGTGTGTGCGTGCGTGTGTGTGTGAAGAGTTCCCGGATAAATGGAATTCCTATAACACACAAATCTGTTATCTATTCTTAAACACTGATAGCTACATTCAACATTTATGATATCTAATGTCAATATTTTGAATGAAACTAACTTTTGCAGATGTCCGTAAACAAGCCGAAGGACAATCGAACGAGTGTTCTAGATAACCCCACGACACCTTAACCAACGAGCCAAGGAATGCTAAAGATCATACCCCACCCCCCCTATGAACGTCTCAGATATCCCAGTCTATCATTCCATGATTGAAGTCCCCCAGGATTGACAGTCTGGCTTCATTCATTCAGGCGATAGAAATTGTTCTATCAGTTAATGGGTGCCATGTTTTTTATCATATTCCTGTCTGGGTCTGTCATCTAGTATAGCGGGTTATATATCATGATTAAAACTGCTATCTTTAGTCCCTTCGTAGCCCAAGATATCCATCTCTCCATATACAACATTAAGCCCGGATTCGAGAAATAAGTTGACCGTCAGAATAATTAAATTGTAACGCAACAGGGACAACACCGATGATATGGGGGGGCATAAGCAGACCTAACGTATCCATAGACACTATTAAATACCCACAACTTTACAACCACAACAACACAGACTTAACAACCACAACACAACCAGACAACCCACCATAACACACCCTTGACAACCACCACACAACAGAACCTTAACCACTCCCACCCCCTAATCACAACAGAATCTTAACCCCCCAATCACAACAGAATCTTAACAACCCCTAATCACAACAGAGCCACCGCAGTACAACCTCTCTACAACCTGTCCTCAGAGGACGCAGCATCTGGACGTCTTGAACGCAAGGGCTGTTAACGGGACAGGAAAAAAAAATCATCATAAGATGCCATCTCGCAGACATGACGTCACAACAGGGTGCATTCATCTGTTGGTTGGTTTCTCGTGCGGGGGTGAAGGGAACCTCAACAAACGGCCGTTTTTATGTTGTATATGTTTATTTGATTTAATATAATTTTTACATTATTCATATAGTTATTTCTGAGAATTTGATTCATTGGGATTTAATGTTAGGGTGTGTGTGTGTGTGTGTGTGTGTGTGTGTGTGTGTGTGTGTGTGTGTGTGTGTGTGTGTGTGTGTGTGTGTGTGTGTGTGTGTGTGTGTGTGTGTAGCAAGAGGAGGAGAAGTAAACAAAGTAGCAAAGTAGCAAAGTAATTCGATATCAACGAATTACACTATTTTTTTTTTATCACGCTCCTGAGAATATACGTGATAAATTGCACACACACACACACACACACACACACACACACACACACACACACACACACACACACAACACACACACACACACACACACACAGTACCGAGTCATTTACTCATTAACTATTCTCTCTAAAAAGGGAAAGAAGAAGAGACATGGGAAAGGGGATAATAAAAAGGGAAGAAGAGACATGGAAAAGGGAGTAAGAGAGAAGGAATAAAAGAAGGGGATACTTAAAGTAGGCAATATGATAAAAAGTGGAGTAGATACAGGTGTGTGAAGAGGAGGGAGGGAGTGGGAAAGGGGGGTAGGAAGGGAGGGAGGGAGGTGGGAAAGGGTCATGAAGTATGTGCAAGAGCTTTCGTGGGAGGGGGTGAGGGTGGGGGAAGGGGAATGGAAGGGGGAAGAAGTATAGTGGGAGGGGGAGGGAAATGTGGGGTACTGGGAGGGGGTTGTGGGAGGGGGGGTTGTGGGTAGGGGGTAGGGGTGCTTGTAGGACTTCTAAGAACTTCACAGGAGATACAAACACATAGCAGACAGACCCCCCACCCCCCCTTTCCCCCCCAAAGAGGGGGGGGTAAACCCAGACACACACACACTTTTCCTCCCTGTGACCCCATACCATCCTATTCCATCCCATCCCATCCCATCCCATCCCATCCCAGGTCAGGTTCTCCATTTTTTTTAATTTTAAACAAACAATTCAGCAAACAATGAAAGAAGCAAGCAATCAAAAAAGCAAGCAATCAAAAAAGCAAGCAATCAAAAAAGCAAACAATCAAAGCAGCAAACAATGAAAGAAGCAAGCAATCAAAGAAGCAAACAATCAAAGAAGCAAGCAATCAAAAAAGCAAACAATCAAAGAAGCAAGCAATCAAAAAAGCAAACAATCAAAGAAGCAAGCAATCAAAAAAGCAAACAATCAAAGAAGCAAGCAATCAAAAAAGCAAGCAATCAAAAAAGCAAACAATCAAAGAAGCAAGCAATCAAAAAAGCAAACAATCAAAGAAGCAAGCAATCAAAAAAGCAAACAATCAAAGCAGCAAACAATGAAAGAAGCAAGCAATCAAAGAAGCAAACAATCAAAGCAGCAAACAATCAAAGAAGCAAACAATCAAAGCAGCAAACAATCAAAGAAGCAAGCAATCAAAAAAGCAAACAATCAAAGAAGCAAACAATCAAAGAAGCAAACAATCAAAGAAGCAAACAATCAAAGCAGCAAACAATCAAAGAAGCAAGCAATCAAAAAAGCAAACAATCAAAGCAGCAAACAATGAAAGAAGCAAGCAATCAAAGAAGCAAACAATCAAAGCAGCAAACAATCAAAGAAGCAAACAATCAAAGCAGCAAACAATCAAAGAAGCAAACAATCAAAGAAGCAAGCAATCAAAGCAGCAAACAATCAAAGAAGCAAACAATCAAAGCAGCAAACAATCAAAGAAGCAAACAATCAAAGCAGCAAACAATCAAAGAAGCAAACAATCAAAGAAGCAAGCAATCAAAGCAGCAAACAATCAAAGAAGCAAACAATCAAAGCAGCAAACAATCAAAGAAGCAAACAATCAAAGAAGCAAACAATCAAAGCAGCAAACAATCAAAGCAGCAAACAATCAAAGAAGCAAACAATCAAAGAAGCAAGCAATCAAAGCAGCAAACAATCAAAGAAGCAAGCAATCAAAGCAGCAAACAATCAAAGAAGCAAGCAATCAAAGCAGCAAACAATCAAAGCAGCAAACAATCAAAGAAGCAAACAATCAAAGCAGCAAACAATCAAAGCAGCAAACAATCAAAGCAGCAAACAATCAAAGAAGCAAACAATCAAAGCAGCAAACAATCAAAGGAGCAAACCAAAAACAAAGGGATTAAACATTCAAGGAAATAAACAATCAATTAAGGGCCTAAACACCCAATGGAACATGCAAACAATGAGGGTAGCAAACAAACCAAACAATTAACAATCAAGGGAGTAAACAAACAAACAAGGAACTCAATCAAACAAAAGAGGAGGGTGCTCCTCCTCCACACTAAAGAGCAGTAGGAAAATAGAGCCACTAAACTAGAGCACTGAAGGGAGGGGGGGGGGGGGTCGGTGATGCTGTGACGTCATCAGATTGTGACTTCCGAGAAGTCAACCGGTCTGTTTAACCCCCCCCCCTCTCTCCCCTCCCTCTTACCCCCCTCTCTCCCCTCCCTCTTACCCCCCCCCTCTCCCCTCCCTCTTACCCCCCCCCCCTCTCTCCCCTCCCTCTCACCCCCCCTCTCCCCTCCCTCTTCCCCTCTGACCCCTTAGGTGATGCTTTCCTTCCTCTCCTGATTGTTCCTCTTTCTTCTCTTCTGATTGTCTCTCCTCTTCTGATTGTTTCTCCTTTCCTGATTGTCTCTCCTCTTCTGATTGTCTCTCCTCTTCTGATTGTTCTTCCTCTGATTGTTCCTCCCCCCACTGATTGTTCCTCTTGATCTGCTGAAATAGGGCCGCCTACCCTCCTGCTGCTCTTCCTCTGATGGGTCCTGCCCCTCCCTCTCCCTCTGAATAACTACCATCACGTTAATAATACATCATTAACGTGATGGATCATTAATACAACACCTTACCATGATTTATTTGTGTATAATACAATTGATAAGAGGGACCCTTCTCACCCACACTACTCGGTTTCTTAAAGAAAACGGAAAGACGACCTAATTCAAAACAACCCGTCCTCTTAAAAATAACGTCACTTTTGGCTGGTATGCGCGATATGGCTAAATTTGGACGTAATTTGAAATGAAATCGACTCACAAAAGTGACGTACTGTTCCGTTTTCTATTTGAGTCGTCCGGCGTACGCGCAGAGGTTATATGAGGACACTTTAAATTAACGTTTTTCATAACGTTTTGAAACTTTATGAGAATTTCCTGCCCACCTAACCCATCAGAGGACCCTTAACTTACTGTTGTTAAAAAAAAAAATCCCCAATTTATTTTCATATTTTTTTTATTTTCAAATTACGTCCAAATTCGGCCATACGGGCAAACGGCTAAAAGTGACGTTCTTTTTAAGAGGACAGGTTGTTCAAAAGGTGTGTGGTCGAATTATCTTCCAAATGGTTAAGGGATTTTTTTTAGAACGAAAAATTCGTATATATATCGTTAGGTTAGGATGTATTAGGAAAGGTTAGGATGTATTAGGAAAGGTTAGGAAGGATTAGGAAAGGTTAGGGTGGATTAGGAAAGGTTAGGATGGAGTAGGAAAGGTTAGGATGTATTAGGAAAGGTTAGGATGTATTAGGAAAGGTTAGGATGTATTAGGAAAGGTTAGGATGGATTAGGAAAGGTTAGGGTGGATTAGGAAAGGTTAGGATGGAGTAGGAAAGGTTAGGATGCATTAGGAAAGGTTAGGATGTATTAGGAAAGGTTAGGATGTATTAGGAAAGGTTAGGATGTATTAGGAAAGGTTAGGATGTATTAGGAAAGGTTAGGATGGATTAGGAAAGGTTAGGATGGATTAGGAAAGATTAGGATGGATTAGGAAAGGTTAGGATGGATTAGGAAAGGTTAGGATGTATTAGGAAAGGTTAGGATGGACTAGCAAAGGTTAGGATGTAATAGGAAATATTAGGATGGATTAGGAAAGGTTAGGATGTATTAACAAAGGTTAGGATGTATTAGGAAAGGTTAGGATGTATTAACAAAGGTTAGGATGTATTAACAAAGGTTAGGATGTATTAGCACAGGTTATGATGGATTAGGAAAGGTTAGGATGTATTTGGAAAGGTTAGGATGTATTAGGAAAGGTTAGGATGTATTAGGAAAGGTTAGGATGTATTAGGAAAGGTTAGGATGTATTAGGAAAGGTTAGGATGTATTAGGAAAGGTTAGGATGTATTAGGAAAGGTTAGAATATATTAGGCTCAGTTGGGGTTGATGTTCAGACAAGCTTTCTAGCAACATCAAACGAGACATTTATATCCCACTGTCCACCAAATATTTACACAACACTTACGAAACCTCTACATCTTCCCGGCTGAGTTTACATCTATTAAACAGTCTACGAGCTGAGAAACCTCACAACTCAAGATTATTATTGTTATAAAAAACCATTTAGTGCTTCGGAGCTCGTAAAGTCTTCATTACATATCAACAAAATGGCCATAATTGAGGAAAGATGTACAGGTTTCGCCCCCAGGTCCCCAGCAACGTCTCGTTGATCACACCACACGGACCGGAACCGTTGTTAACAATCAACTCGTTTATGGGTCTGGGAAGACAGCGGCATACTAATGGCTGAAGGTGGTTAAGTCCACGTCTCTTGGTCGTATACTTGAAAACTAATTGGCTTCTACAAGAAGCAGGTGGTTGTGGGCTTAACAACCGGTTGAAACCGGGTCAGAAACGAGTAATTCAACGCCATTCGTGCTAACTACTGTTACTAAATGTTTTTGAATTTGTATCTTCAAAGCCTCAAAATCAAAATCAGCCATATTTATTTTTATAAACCGTTCATATTTTTTTAAAATATAACAATTATGTCTTGTGTCTATTGCGATATGTCTATTAATTTCGTCTGGATTTTGACAATTACTGCTGTTTCTGTTGTTATTTTTCATTACTTTTCACTCTCATGCAATAATTGGCATTGCTTGTCGTTCATTATATATATAATGTACAATTACAATGACCAATATTAGGCTATTATGAGTACTTCTTTCCTGTTTAAATCAATAATGTCGTTGAAATGTTTGCATTCAAAGTTGGTCAGGAATTTACAACCAATTATGAAAAAGGTTGTTGACATCTACTACTGTTATTAGTACTACTACAACCGCGACTGCTACTAAAACTACGAATGCTACTTCAACTACAACCCCTACTTTTGTTGACCAGACCACACACTAGAAGGTGAAGGGACGACGACGACGTTTCGGTCCGTCCTGGACCATTCTCAAGTCGATTGTCATTCTCACAATCAGACTTGAGGACGGACCGAAACGTCGTCGTCGTCCCTTCACCTTCTAGTGTGTGGTCTGGTCAACCATTCTTCAGCCACGATATTGTGACTCATCGTCTGCACCCTTATTTTTCTTATCGTTCGTCTATCAAGTCGACGAAGATCCTCTGAGAGTGAGTTCGAAGATGACTGACTAGTCCACTTCGAGTCCAAATTCCTTCCGGTTGCAATGGGGGACTTCGAAGTTCCGGACTTCGGGACTTCGAGGTCCCTGGCTCCCGCCAGGGACCTCCACCAGCCCTGGACTTGCTTTATATTCCTTTATCGCTGCTATTAACACAAGCGCTTCGGCCGCGTTCACATACTGGTGTTTGGAAATTAGTATTCTCTATATTACGGTCTTCCCTCTGCACGGCTGACCACAGCGGCATCCTGTCACAGCTTATTTACACCACCTCCCATAATGTTAAACTGTGTTTTATCCGTTTATATACACGAAGGTCCTCGAGGCTCAGCGGACTACGCTCGGGAGTAGAAGTACAAAGTACCCGGGACTCGATTCCAGGCCGAGACAGAAATAGGCACAGTTTCTTTCACTTGATGAATCTGTTCTTCCGGCAGTCGAAGAACAAAGTACCCGGGACTCGATTCCAGGCCGAGACAGAAATAGGCACAGTTTCTTTCACTTGATGTATCTGTTCTTCCGGCAGTCGAAGAACAAAGTACCCGGGACTCGATTCCAGGCCGAGACAGAAATAGGCACAGTTTCTTTCACTTGATGTATCTGTTCTTCCGGCAGTCGAAGAACAAAGTACCCGAGGCTCGATTCCAGGCCGAGACAGAAATAGGCACAGTTTCTTTCACTTGATGTATCTGTTCACCAAGCAGTAAATATGTACCTAGGAGTTATAGAGAGCGTCTACGGGTTGAGCCCCGGGGATGTTTGAGAGAGAGAAATGTATGAATATTAGTGGATATTATATAGAAAATTAGGTTAGTAGCTCACTTGACAATCGGTTAAGGAGGCGAGGTCCAAGAGCTAGCAGCTCCATCTTGCTGACACAAATAGTAAATACACACTAAAATACATACAAATACCCGGCTATGCCCGGGTCTCTTTTCCCACCTTGCTCTTCCCACATTCTTCTCTCTCTGAATTTTCCCCTTTTCTTATCTCTTTTTTGTTTCTCCCCCGCCCCCCTTTCACTCTTTCCCTCTCCCCACCTCTCACCCTCTCCTTTCTTCCCTTCCCTCTGATTCCCTCTCCTCTTTCTCTCCCTGAAAAATTAATATTACGATTTATAATAACACATTTAGGTACATCTACATTTGTGCAGCTGCCCTAGACCATATGAAGGGGAGTACAGTGTGTGTCAAGAACTAGCTGCCCTAGACCATATGAAGGGGAGTACAGTGTGTGTCAAGAACTAGCTGCCCTAGACTATATGAAGGGGAGTACAGTGTGTGTCAAGAACTAGCTGCCCTAGACTATATGAAGGGGAGTACAGTGTGTGTCAAGAACTAACTACTTGATGCTAAAATCCCCCTACCACAGGATGGTTAGTCATACAGGGCCACGTGATCAGTAGTCTGCACTGGCGAACTCTAAATGCACTCTGAGGATATCATCAAGGACACAAGAAACATTCCTGTATTCACTCATACAAGAGTGAATACAGTAGCAGTGATACTAAAAGTCCCCATCTCGCAGGATGGTTAGTCATACAGGGCCATATGTTCAGTAGCCTGCACTGGCAAATTTTGGGTACATTATGAGGATATCTTCAAGAACACGAGAGTGAATAAAGTAATTGCAAAGCTCCAGGTACCTCATGCCAACGGGTCTGAATGGACTGATAACTGGGCATTCGGTGTGCATTTTTTTTTTTATTAAGTTATGAGGTACATCTGCATTAGTGCAGCTACCCTAGACTATATGAAGTGGAGTACAGTGT